GTTGTTTTCATGTAAACAACTTGATGTTTTGGTCAATTTTAAGACATTTTGTAGTTTTTGTAACAAAAGATTACAATTTATATTGGGATTAAACGTTATTGTAGACAGAGAGCTAATTTCACAAACGAAATATAGTTGATGGGTTTTTTACTAAAAAAATAGTTTAGAGGATTTTTCATGATCCGATGATAGTTAAGGGAATTTTTTATTAAAAACCCTTAATACTACAATTTAAATTAAATGTGTTTCTTATGATATTACGCGGTTGGTTAAGAAAATGATAAACTTATGCGAGTAGGTCACCGTTTTAAAAAATTGAATTCAATTCAAGTTCTTTTTCACTCCCTCCGTTTTAAAATATAAATCGTTTTAGAAATTTTTTATAATTCAAAATATAAGTTATTTTGATAATTCTAAGTACTTTTTAATTTTATTGATTATTGTGTGACCAATAATATTTTACAGTCGCTTTTTCATTGGTTAAATTATTTTATTATATATAAGATGATACTTTTTTAGAAGAAAAATAGTTTTTTAATATTCGCAGTTTAGCCAAAACAACTTACATTTTAGAACGGAGGGAGTAAAAAAATATTTATCTACCTTGCATCATATATATTAAACAAATTTGTGGCTAATGTGCTTGCGGCCCAATTTTTTGATGTTTTATTTATATATATTATCGGTTCATAAATATGCAGAAATTTATTTAGTTCAATTGGTTCATGGGTTACATAGAATAAAAAAGAGATGGAGGATTCGATTAATCCTTTAAACATTTGATTTTTTTTTTCAACTGGCCTAATTTCTTTTTTTGGTTTGTGGTTCTTAAATTCTCAAAACCGCTCTCGTTGTTTACTAAAAATTACGTGTGCGGTCAATTAAAATATCCATGGCTGATATATGTCATAAGCTATAAACCACTACAAAATTTCAAGATTAGTCAAATAAAAATACACGATAACAAGTACATATGATATGCCATTGACACGATGCTTGCCGTATGCAAAATGTTTGAGGAAGTAATTATATTTCTTATCAAAATTACAAAGAGAATATTCAACTTTTTATACCTTTATCGTCCAAATTTAAACCAATAAAGGACTTCCCGAGTTGACTAAAAAAAAACACTTGTAAGTACCTCAGTTACATCTCAAAAATCTAATTCGATGTAGCAGCGAACACGTATATTATTATGGACAACTAAATACATCATATTGTCAACGAGAACCCTAAAGATATACCGCTAACAAAAAAAAAGACTATACGATTAGAAGACATTTAATTACGTACATCATTGTCGGGTGATGACATGACTAATTATTAATTACGACGACCCCAACAGTTTCTAAAAATCTATTATGGCATGTGAAAATCTGAAATAGACACGTAACAAATGGACATTTGAAGACTAACACAGCAAACGCGTGGCGTATAAGATAGCTAGAGACTTAGAAATTATGAGTCAATGTTTCGTTGATGCGTATAGGATATTTCGACCAGGTAAGGCCCATGGTTAAGGAGCTTCTAGGTAATTGTCACGTGTATGGTGTTTGGGACATGAACCGCTAAATCATTCGACTTGAAACACTAATCACGGCGAGGAATCCACCGGAAACAGATGATGATATTGAAATGTGCAGTTTACATCAAGAGTTAATACATATGTAATGTTGGATATGGATCTAACAGGTCATGTGACCAGAACGAATCAATTTGGTAACTGATTTTGTTTTTGTTAAAGCAACGTGCATTGGACTATTGGAGGTGGCAATCCCAAATCTGAAGCGACTCTATCACACATAGTTTCGAAATATGTAAGTATATTATACTTTTTGTTGTGTGCGTCTATAGACTATAGTTTACAAAATGTTGTGTATTATTATTTCAGAGTTTCTTTGGAGATTTTTATACACTGAAAGCTGGCTGCATGGTCATGTGTGTTTCCATTTTCCAAATTAGTATATTTATTGTGGACCAACATTGAACGCAATTATTTCATTCATGGGCCAATATGGAATGGATCTTGTTTTCGCTTTCGGCCCATACTAGATCTGATATAAAGGGCTGAAACTATTAAACAGCAGTACAACATTGTATCTCGGTTTGGGTTAGGTTAATTATTGGTTATGAGTAAACCACATCGTAGTTCTCTCTATATCTCTATAATATTAAAAGAGAAGTACATTTAGGAGAATGTCCAAAATTGATTCCAATATTACTCAAATTGTCATTGTTTTATAACTAAATTGATTAAATTGAAAAGYGTAATTTTGAACTAATGCAATGGCAATTTCAGTAATTTTGAGTACAATTTCGACTATTTTTATGTTACGAATTAATTGCATTTTCGTTTTTATTTTTGAGACACATTAATG